TAAAGGGTTTTGTGCCTTCCACCTTCGGACAATGTGTGTGGTGACTCCGAAGTGCACAGTCGCGCGAGCAGTGCGTGCACGGGGCACCGCGAGGGCCCTGGCCAGCGGCCCCTCCTCAGGGCAGGGGCCTGGTCTTGCTCGGGATGAGCCAGACGACGTGCTGTTTCCCTAACAAGAAGGAAATAACTCAGCTCCGGCCTCCCGCAGTTTTCTTCCAGGATCGCACAGAAAGGATCTTACTTCTGAGGTTTTCTGCTGAAGCTGCACTGTGTGTGTGTGTGTGTGTGTGTGTGTGTGTGCCTGCGTGGAGTGCGGGGTGGGGGCCTGGTCGCAGGGGACAGCAGGGCAGGTGGGGTGTCGGCCCACCCCTCAGAGTGCCCGAGCCTGGTGAGGGGAGCGCAGCACCCGTGTGGGGGACCCGCGAGGGGATGGTGCGGTTCTCGCGGCAAAGGAGTCTACTTCTGGGGTGGCCCATCTCATGCAGGTCAGCCTACTCAATTTTCCAAAATCAACTCAAAAGAAGGTGCGGGGGGGCAGCCTAAGAAAAGCCACTTTCCCTACAGAACAGTGTCCCAGCTCCCGGACAGGGTAGGGTGGCCCCCTCTCTCGTCGCCCAGAAGCCTCACCAGAAAGGGTTTGGGCTTCGGGGCGTCTCCCCCGGCAGACCCGGGGTGGCCCGTCCAGGCAGCGCCCCGCCCAGACCCGCGCAGGTTCTGGGGAGAAGTGCTCCCCAAGTCCTGCGGCGGGCTGCAGAAGGGTCGCTGAGACCAGACCTCCCACATCAGGGGCAGAAGAAAGCCCCTGAGAATGAGAACTTAAAAACGGCCAAGTGGTGAACGTCCTGTTTTTAAACAAATGCCAAAAAAGAAAGGAAAGGAAATCTGTAGAGCAAACGTCTCCAAAAGCAGCAGCGTACTGCCCCCAGCATTTTCTGGGGAGAAAAGACTGTGAGTGTGGGCCGAGGGGTGGCGGGTCCCCTGCTCTGGGAAGAGTCCTGGGCTGGGAGATGCAGGGGAAGAGGGCCGGGGCCAGGGCCCAGCTCAGCACGCAGACTGCCGAGCAGAAACGCGGCTCGGGCCTGACCGCGGGCCGGACGCGCTGGGGAGAGGCCAGACTGCAGAGTGTCCCTGGGGAGACCAGGGCTGCGTGCCACCCCACAGCAGGGCGTCGAGGGGACGACCGAGCTGCGCGCCTGCGGCCTCAAGCTGGACCTGGCTGTCAGGCGGCAGAAGCGCTGCTCGCTCCGCACCTTCAGCAGCCGGGACGGGGCTGAGTGGGGCTGAAGGGGCGCACACCTGGGCCCCAGCGGGAGGCAGGACTTCGAGGGACGGGGCCACCGGCCACCAAGGGGCCACAGAATCCGGAGCAGGC